GAGTAAATGAGTTTTTATTTCGGTGAATCATTTGTTTAAGGGTCACCATGAGCTTTCGCTTTTTATTACAGTGAGAAGTGAAACCTCCTGGTAAGCTTTAAAGGGATGGTTCAGCAAAAACTACAGTGTGTCTCAATTCAGGGCTGCGTCCTTCAGAGGCTGCATTTGAAGGCCGATTGCGTCACAGCGGCGCGACTAGGCTGTCCCATTTCCAAGGCTCCTTCATAGGCGGCCAAGAAATGTGTCCTTCTTTTCCATGGCAATGAAGGATCCATTCACCAGCCAACATATTCCCGAGGTTCACTGCGTGCTGATGAGAATTTCAGAACATGGCGGCGTCAGCAGAGAAGGGAACGGCGGCTTAAAAACACTTTTATATACAATTAAGTATTGGGTTTTGAGGCGAATAGCTAATGATACAAATGTAAAAAAAAACAACACAACAATCTCATCAGTAGCCGGCGGGGAAGCATCTCCAGCTCTAATAAATGAAAAAAATAGACAACTAAAATCGTTTCTGGCTCTGTCTGTAAAGAACTTTAAAGTAACTTGACAGGAGCGGCGATTTGTGGGACAGCAGTAAGGGTGGGAACAGCAGTGCCGTGACACAAACAGGAAATCCGCCGTAGGGGCAGACCAGCTCATTTCAGTTCAGCCTTCGCGGGTCTAATCATCCTTTGGAGGACACGCCTTCATAGACCACGTCCCTCAAAGGATCCAGCCTCTGAATTGGGACACACTGCTAGTGTCCATTATCTGTGATGCTGACAGTTTAACTGAAAATGCTATTAGCTTTTTAATGCTTTTATATGAGGGAAGTAAAGCAGTTCTGCAGTTCCAGATGTTTACCATGATGTGGCCTCTTGTTGGTTATAACTCTCACTTTAGGAAAACATTTGATTGACACCGTTATGTCCTTTCATTGATTGTGAGTCACATCAGTGTAGCAATGTGAAAATTTGTGTTAGAAATTAGCATCTAAACTTAAATGGTGAACACTTGCCCACTTCAGGGGTGCTATGACTCGGCAAAGAGACACAAACAGTTGGAAAATGAGCTCAGCGTCTTTAATAATGGCATTTGTGTCATTCGCTAAAGACTGCAGTTAGAGCCAACGAGGAATGTGAGTCATATGTCTGTGGTTGCTGCAAAACACAGAGGTGATGCGTTCTGCTCTCAAAATCAAAGCGAGGATCTGTTCTGTGAATCAGCAGCCGTGCCCACATTTCCTGCCAACATGTTCTTCTCGCAGGCCTAAATTACCAGCCACCCTTACACACAAGGCTTTACCTGTACATCACTGAAGCCAGCTACCTTTTACATTCATGTTCAAATATATCAATGTTAGAAGAAGTTTTTGCTGAACATTGGCAACAACAATTAAACAACTCATTCATCTGACGCAGTTAGACTTTTTTTTTGTCCATCTGAGTTTACATGACCAAATCGTAAGGCAAATTATGCCATAACTGAATGAAATAAATGTACATTTTTATTTTATTTATTTATTTATTGTAAAAGTTCCCCTCAAATTAACAGAACATGTGTTTTATGATACACATATTTCTATATGATTACAATTTACTGCTGAAAGCCAAAAATCTTTGACGCTCTTTTTATTTTTATATTTTATGTATTATTCAGATTTGTGGAAAAATGGGTCGACTTTCAGTAGAAAAAAAAATTCAGCTTCTTCTATTATAAGGGTTTAAAATTACATCACCCATCTGTTTGACTGGAACAAAGACAGCTCTTATATGACCCCCACCTTTAGAATGTAGCTTATGAAATATGAAAGTTATAAAGAATATGACAAAGTGCGTTTTGGAACCACCGGTGGTTCGAAGGAGTTTAAAAGGATAACTTAACCTGTATCCTGCATTTTTCTTGCATCTTATTTTTCCCTGAGGTCCACTTATGCCATTTGTGTGACTTTATCTATCAAGAACAGTTGTGAATGGGCTGAGCTGTAGTTCTGTAGGCTGAATAGGCAGATGTTTGTAAGTGTGTTGGTTCTTGTGACATCACAAAAACAAGTAATTCAAAACAGACTTGCAGTTTAATTTAGGCCTGCATCAAACTGTTTTAAGCAGAGAACCATGACTGTTAGAGCTAGACCTTAATTTCGGGCCATGAATTTCAAAGCTTGGTAAAATAAACAAATAAATCTATGATAAACGCCACTATTTTCCATTTCAAACATCTGAACTGCACTGGTTAAATTACCGCTTCTATTCACAGTCAGTAACAAAACCAGGACTTTAGGACGTCCAAAAGGCCTGGAGTGATGTTGTTTTTTCCTCACAGAATTGGAATTTTATTGTAAATGAAAACATTATTGGTTGATTCCACCGTCACTTCTTGATTACTGATTAATCTGACACGTTAGTCCTTCAGTTCAGCTCCTGAAGTCCTGACCAGTAAAAGAGCTAGCTTGACTGTATCTATTTAGAAATCACAGTAAAAAAATCTAACTAAACAATTTTTCCATTTGCCTTTTTAAGACCTAAACCTGTTTCAAAAGCCAAAACCTAACAGCAAAAGTAGGTTGGTGTAGTGCAGAGGGTAACACATCTGCCTTCTACGCTGTAGACTGGGGTTCAATCCCTGCCTGGTTAAGCACTCTACACTATACCAATGAGAGTCCTTGGGCAAGACTCCCAACACTACCTTCACCTGCCTGTGTAAAATGATCAAATTTGAAGTCGCTCTGGATAAGAGAGTCTGCCAAGTGCCAATAAGAGTGTTCCTGCAATATTTGCGAAATTGAAATATAATAAGGATGATTATTTTAAATAAAAAAATAAACTAACATATACAGGCATGTTTTATTTTATTTCACAGACATCTGTAGGCCATCTCTGGAGGCCTAGAACGTCCTGAGGCTTCCCCACGGAACCCTTTTATTTAAAAAAGTGAGGAAATTTAGGTTCATGATATGGGCCCCATAAAAGAGCTCCATAGAGCTGATTCATTTAAAGATTCACCTGAAGTTATTTTTTATTAAGCTCTTTAATGGTTTTAATGTCAGGCTGTAAATGAGGAACTGTGTAAAACACAGAGTGAACTGCGACACTGAAGCCACTGCATACACACAATCCAAATGTTTCGGTTTTAATCACTTCACTTATTGAAAATGTCAGTGTTTAGTTAGTCTACTTCTCCAACTTGTTCTACTGGTTGAGGAAAACTTGACTGTAACATCAAATAAACGTTTGATTTGTTTGTTTCTTTAACACCAGTTTATTTGATATTCCAGTCAGACCCTCCTCGATTTGCTCCGAGCTAAAAAGTGCTTTTTGAAAGGTTTACAGGAAAGTGTTACAAATATTAAAATGTATGGATTCACAGTGTTGACGCTCCTCTCTTGTTGCGGCTTGTGAAAGTTGAGATCTGAAATAATAAATTCTCCAGATACTGTTGCAAAAACATTCCACTGTGCTGTCACAGTGTGACGCCACAGTGAGGCTCAATATTTACAGTCGTGCCGTGTTTAGACAGAGCGACTGTGAGACTCCTTCATGAAAGCCCTTTCATTGTTCCACTCAGCAGAAAGAGTGATTTCATAGCCTCTCTGAAATGCCAGCACTGGCAGCTGGATCTCAGTACAGTCACTTCAGAACCCTGACTGCATTCCCATCACGCTCTTCCGGGAATGTTTCTCTGGAACACTGAGGTGTCCAAATGTACTCTTACCAGATTGTGCCGTATCTGCAGCATATACCTGTGAGTTATCTGGTTCAAATGCAAATTTTCTATGTTACTGCACTGCAAGAGGAGTGAAATGTGGCCTTGGTGTAGGTTACTACACTTTAAAACATGAAGGACCACTATGCTACACCTTCTTATGATGTTTATGTAACTGTATATATCAAACAGTCAAAATACATTTTTACATGATCGTCTTTTTCCAACCTCTCTTTATCATTTAGAATTAAACAGACTGTGTTTGTTACTATGCCTTTAAGTGACTGAAATATGTAAATGACCTCTGTCCTGATTGGCTGCCTGTATTGCACCTCATTCAAAAAAACAGTCCAGGTTTAAAGCCTTATGCTTTCAAGAGGTTCTTCACACTCAAACATCTGATTTACAAAATGATTCACTAAAGACCCACTGAACAGTAGAGAACCCATTCAAAACAGACTGTTTTTGCATCTTAGATGACCATATATGGACTAAATGGACTCAGGATTGAACAGAACATTTTGAAACTTTGTTGTGTTTACATAATTTATCAGGGGATGGCAACATGTGGCTCTGGAGTTACATGCAGCTCTTTTACTGCCCTGTTGCGAATGTGACAAAACTCCTAATGCTACGTTTGCCCAGCTCTGTAGGATGATTTTAATTATACATCGCGCTGGATAAGATGTGGTAAATGTAACAAATCTTGTTTGATTCTCAGGAAATGTGTTCAGTAATAGTAATCAAAGCATAAACTAAGAGCCATATAATTCTAGGCCTTCAGAAGAGCACATCTTCTGTAGCCCCGGTATCCTTGTAAAAGCATTGATTAGAATGGGGAAGACCAAAACTGATCCAGCAGCAGAATTCCTACTATATAATAGACTACATATGGTCTCCAGATGTTTTCTCCAGAGCCAGCCAGTGTTCTTCCAAACCTCAGCATTATCACCAAACACGTGCAGCATTCAACAGCCAAATTTAGCAATAGGGCTAATCTTAATGACCCCATATATTCTTTCTATTTAACCATAAGTGATATGTAAATAGAGTTATGGCCTCATACTTGCATTCAAAAAGGCACGACTGAACCGGAAAGAAAAGCAATAAAACTTAAAGCAAACAGAGGCTAAATCATCCACTTCATGCACAGAAGCTTTGAACTGCCTCTTTTGATTAGATAAAAGTGACTCATTAAGAAAAACAATTCATTGTTTGACGTTACAAGTTCACGGCATGGTACAGGACGGCCAAGCTAACCTTTGAGCCTGCAAATAAATGCTGCGTGATTAAAAAAGAGAATGGTGTCTTACCTGGAGTCTTACTCTGAACACAGGAAAGAATCCATAAGAGCGTGTAAACCCCGACGAGTGTGTAGGACACACTCTGATTCAGAAAGTCCCGCAGATGCATATGCAAAGAGAGAGGGAGAGAAAAGAGAGTGAGAGGGAAAAGTGAGAGGGAGAAGGGAACTGAGAAAGGAGCTCCTCAGTACAGGTTTGGTGAAAGGGATGTAATCAGACTCTGCAGTCCTCCGCAGTGAACTGAATAGGCGGCGAGATGTTTCGGACGTCCCGAATTCACCTGAGAGCAGACAAAACAAGCAGTAAATTCAGTCCCAGCTGCGTCTGAAAGGAGTTAAAAGAGCCAGTGATGGTGCGTCTGGGAGTCGTAGGTGTGTTTTGAAAGAGAGACACAGAGAGGGGGAAGCTTAACACACCCCATTCCAAGATCATTGGACTGGACTATAATGAATGATCACACGTACCTCCTTCTTACTTTTTCTTCTCTCTCTCTCTCTCTCTCTCTCTCTCTCTCTCTCTCTCTCTCTCTCTCTCTCTTTAAGGATTTTTAACCCATTGTAACATTGGCTTATTTTCCGGTAATTAAGCTCAAGACTAGAGCTGGCATGATACTGCCTTTTCTTTTCTGACTGCGATACTGAAACATTGATATCGACTGTTATTGATACTGATCTAATATCTTTTCTTCAGAATCTAGTGAGCTTTAAAGAAGTAGTTTGGCGAAAAGTCACTTGTAAACAGTATCTACTCACCCCTGATGTCGTCAGCCAGGACTTGTTTGGTTGTCCTAATTTGTCCTTCAGTAGGTAAGCGTTGGCGTTCGGAAGCTAATGTTACTAACAAACACTAGAAGTTACTTAAACCTCTCTGGAAATGGATCTTCAAAACTTCTCTCAACACTGTTGACTAAGGTCATTTTACATCATACTGTGTCCCAAACCACATCAACAAAACTGTCAATGGATGCATTTTCAGCAGGTTGAGAGAAGTTTTGGGGATGTGGTTACAGAAAAATCATGTCTGTTGACTTCTATTGTTTATTAGCTACATTAGCCTGGAAGAAAATAATAGTTCGATAAAAAAAAATTGAACTATTGGATCGGATGAATTCATTTATCCTCAGTTATCTGACCCTGCATTTTCTGCTGATATCAACCTGATACTGATTATTGGTATTGGATTGGTGACGTCTCTATTAAGATCTACTATAACTAATGTAGTTATGTTATAACTGAAGTTTGGGGGGAGGAGCGTTACTGAAACCGCTCCTTCTTCCAATCTAACACCCTATAAATTCACATCCTCATCTTCTGTTCCCGTGACAAAGAATTTGCAGTCCCCCCTCCCATCTCCTCCCTGTTCCTCAGCCCCACATCAGTCCTACTACAGCTATGAGGGGGTCCAGCCTTCTAGCTACAGGCAGAAGCTGCCCAGAACTCCAGTGCAGGTTCTCAGAGTTCTCCCCCTCCCTCAGTGAGTCTTCCCTCATACTACCACCATGTTGAAGGCACAGTCTGAGCTCACAAACTTTGTAGGACTATGTAAGTTATGTGGTCACGACCGTGAGTAATTGTGCTCCTGGTCCACAAACAAACCCTCAGGCTTTAAGAGGTTAACACTATAAAGCTTTATCTCTGTTTATCACTGTTTGGCCTTTGCTGAGAGTCTGCTAAATATAGAAGTGTTTCTAACATTCTGGCCCCTCGTCCCTCACTGTGACTGTGAACAGCTCTGTGTCCTCTGTGGTTTGACTGCAGCAGCTCAGCAAAGGAGAACAGATCTCCATGACGTCATTGGCTGAAACCTCAGCTTCCTTCTAAAGAAGAGACGGTGCTACAGTGCATGGGCTGTGTTCCAGTTCACACCACAGCAAAACTGCTGTTAGTTTTTCTCTGGTGTCAGCGGGCAAATCAGTATATTAGGTTATATTGGTAGAAATAATAGGTTCTCTACCAGTGAAAGGTTTTTCCTTGAACTGTATGTTTGAGCCAAGAACCATTTAGGAACCTTTGTTTTGGGTGTAATTGATATAAAATTGATGCAACACAGTTTTTTATAGCAGATATTCCAAAGATGACTCAAAATAAAGGCCTAAATGGTTCTTGGCACAGTCATATGGTTCTATGAAAAAAATGAACCTTTATATAACCTTTATATTAACAATCTTCTTTAAGAACCATGTATCGGAAGGTTCAAGAAGCAAATGTGTTTCTTCTGTGGCACTGCTCCAAATATTTTGCCACCTTTACTATCACAAGTGTGGTCTTGTGAAGTGAGGTGAATTTTTCAAGTTGTTTTAGTGAGGTCTACATGCACTGGCATGTCCAAGGTTGCACTCCTTGACCACTGGGGGCAGCGATGAGGTGGGTAGACGCATTCCTGTCTAACTGCCTGAGGCCAGACAGTCCACTTCAAGGATAGCCCTGACATGCTGCTACGTGCTGCCGGATGGCTAGGGTCTAATTTAGTTACAGACATAACACCATATGGGTGTAAGCACAAGTTTCGTTAGATATTTTCCAGTAAAGTGCTTCTAGCAATGTGCTATTTTTAGAGAATGGCCAAGTAGAGAAAGCTCGAGTGGAGATGCCTAAAAACTTTCAATTTCCGAAGTTTTTTTTTGTACTCAAGCCAGTCAGTAACCAGCTGAAATGGCACAAGATGAACTGTGACAAGTTTACACCTAAATCCTTTTACAAGGTGTCAAGCATTTAAGGTATGGACAGTGAAACATCTCTGAACTTTTAGAATAAAAGGATCTTGGCCTGGATGTGTGCTTCTAATAAAGATGCCAAAAATGGTTATTTGGAGAGATGCCATAGAAAAACCATGCAGAGTTTACGGAACCTCCACATTATGCACAAGTTCTGGACCAAACTTTTTTGCAGCATCATATGATCAAGAACAATTTGGGCCGCTGTTTTGTAAGAGTACATGTCTTCTTTGAAACATCATGGATAAAACACTGATATTTCATCATTTTTTTTATTATTATTATTTAAACTCTTAAAAAATAAAGGATATGGAATCATATCAGTATCAACAGAAAATTGCTTTTAAAAAATTGGCTTTTAACAGATGTTTGGATTTGAGCAATATTTTTAACCAATATTTGATGATATACAGTGGAGTCTATGGGTGAAAATGCCTCTATTTTGCATACCTTTCTTATTTAATACATTTTTATTACAAATAATACTATCAGCATAACACTTTGAGTGATATTTATACATACATACATACATCATCTAAACCACTTATCCTTCTGGGTCGCGGTGGGGTGCTGGAGCCTATCCCAGCTGTCATTGGGCGGAAGGCAGGATACACCCTGGACAGGTCGCCAGTCCATCGCAGGGCATGATATTTATATGAATTCCAAAATGTCTTAAAATGTGGTATTTCCCCCTTTTGCTTTAATGCAAATAAGACATGCCACGCTGAGTTTTTGCTCGGACTCGTTGGATATCTGTGCTTGTTCGACTTGAGGCTGTTTTTTAGGGGGGCAGTCGTGGGCTGGAGGTTCGGGAACGACCGGTTCGATCCACTGATCTGACAGTACGTGACTGAAGTGCCCTTGAGCTAGACACCTAACCCCCAACGGCTCCCCAGGCACTGTGGATAGGGCTGCCCACGGCTCTGGGCAAGTGTACTCACTGCCCCCGATGTGTGTGTTCACTAGTGTGTATGTGGTGTTTCACTGCACGGATGGGTTAAAATTCAGAGGTGAAATTTCCCCGTTGTGGTACTTATAAGGGTGGCAGCATGCACGCAGTGCGCACCCAAACTGGCTAGAACTCCACTAATTGGTACAGAAGCCTCTGATCAGTTGATCAAATCTAGCTGAGAGTTGTATGAACATGTGCTTCAATGGAAGCAGTAAGACAAAAAAGACTTTTTTGTAAAAAATGCTTTAACGGGCTAAATTTCACAAATTTGCTTTTATGTTAATAGTGACCTTGAAATAGAGCAGAATTTAAATATTTCTTGTTCATTTTAATTGTTAGAAATTTTTTAAAGATTCTAAAACTTTTTTTTATTTCCTGCTTTGATGAAATAACAAGTTTTCCTTCTCTATATATATATTGTATTTATACATTTACAACAGCAAAACATTTATGCATTTTGTAAACATGTAGTTCCCACTTACCCTTCAGACACTACTTTTTAGACAAGTTGGACAAATATACCACACGTTCATATCTGATCTTCTCTTTATGTACTACAGTTATCATTCAGCCAGTTCTCAGTACTCAGGTACAGTTTCTTTGTTCCAGACCATTAAAATAGTTTTTAGCTATGGTCATGCCACGCTGGATCGCCTGGATCTTGCAGGGACCATAAGCCTCGATGTTTGGTGAGCCTCCTAGGATAGCAATTGCAGGGTCTGGGTGGAGGTCAATTTTATATGCATCAGAATAACAACCAAACACCTCTGTCTCCTAATTTGGGACAAAACCAGAATAAATGTGCCAGAGCTCCTTTATAGGTCTTGCCTTTAACACAAAGTACCACATTTTTAATGTGGTCTCAGACTTTTGGACTCGAGTGTATAAATTGTCTCTGGAACAGAAGAATGTTTAGGCAATGCTGGACTACTGTGACCACAACTCTCATACCGGTGCATCCATAAAAGGCTCCTAAATGGTTCCTTGCTTGGACAGAACAGTCTTTAATTGGCGTGTAGAAACTTTACATTATATAGAGCTTATTTAAACATTTAAGAGTCTCATTTACAAAAATCTGTTTACTCTTCTCTTTAGAAAAAGGGGCACTGAAAGTGGATCTTGTATGGCATCGCTCCAGGGAGCTCTTCCTGGTACCTTTATTTTAAAGAGGGTTCTAATTGTAAATGAACCGTGTGTGCAGTTCTACGCTATGGGCCACAAAGGGCCTATTGTGTATCTCTGTGTGTAGAGCTTTGAATGAAGTTAGAACTTGGCCTTTTGTGTGGTCTGAGGTCTGAGGTCTACTCATGGTTTCCATTAACAATGATGGATGAGGGAGGTTTTGCCTCAGCTGATCCCAGATCAGCTAAAACAGCCAACTCCTAGCCAGTGCACTCAAAGGCACGTGCATGTTTCTCTGAGATGGCAGCACTCATCTCTGCCCTCAATCGGACTCTAATCCCAGATTAGAGGAGAATGTCACCGGACTGGGATTACCGTTCTGGCTGCTGCAATTTTATTATTGATTCTCAACCTTCTCCCACCGCTATACCTTTAGACATACTTTATATACTTCATCTCAGTCTTGGTCTATGCCTCTTCCTCTCTTACTGTGATCTTCTCTCTTTATTATTTGTTAAAATCATCTTAAATCCGAGAACAAAGTGATTCTCACCGTTGGGTTTTTTGTGTGTGTTTACTGCAGTGATGTTTGTTCTGTTAGACTAAAAAATGAGGCGTGTCCATGTTTTTACTGCTGTTATCTTCATCTGTATTTTTACTTTTTTAAATAAGAAAGCCTCACTTTATTTTAATCCTACTTTTTAGCCCAACACAGCAAGGCTGCATGCGTGGCCTGCCCATATGGACTTACCCTCTGTGGACGTCATGCGGTCGAATAGCACACGTGCCTCCATTGTATACTTAACAGCAGTTCGTTCCTATTTTTGTGTACCATTTTAACATATACAGGCTTACGTTTGTGAGAATGCTGAATAGTGCTTTATAATGCCAGCCATATAGTTACTAATCCGGGTTTTAGATTTATGAAGCCAGTCTACACACAGACGATCTCAGGAACCCATTTGCTTTCTAAAATAAGGTGAAGCAGACCAGAAACTAGACGGTTTAAATACATTTAAAGCATTTAAATCTCTCTGTCCTTTTCATTGCAGTCCATCACAGGGCAAGATACATA